GAAGTTCCTTTCTTATTTTGGATTAATTGTGTCCTCTAAATGAGAATCTTGTCAACTCTGCTTTTTGAGCACATAGCCTCTTTTGGTCCTAATTTGTGCAGGGAGTATCAGTCACAGAGGATTAAAGCGTAGTTAGAAGTGTAGAAAATAATCTTTTTGTTCTCAATGGAGGACTTTGTGAATTGACAGCTTTCATAATAATATGCTGTAATGTATATTAACTTTATGGTTTTTTTATGGAGTCATTCTGCTGGCTAATGAATAAACAGAAATGAGAGAAAGCAAACCCCATGATAAGGAAATTAAAAAACAAGAGTAGTAGTTATGAAAGCCTCAGTATGGTCTAAGAGAAATTATATATGATTAAGGTCTGTAACAATGTTTTTTCCTACAATACGTGCAATAAATTGAAATTAACTCAAACTACAGGCCGCAACACCATATCCTTTGCTTTCCATGATGCAACTGTGTTATAGAAATGTCTTGGTTTTGGGAAGCGAATACCAGCAAACAGAGCTAAGCATCCAAGCGGTTTAATCGTGCTTCGATGTGATGTCTGGCTTAATGTGAGAGATGCTTTGGGTGTCACAGGGCACTGAGTAGCACCTATGATTAGATTTGATCTATTCTGCTTAATGAGGCCTATTAATAATACCTTGGCATTCTTCTTTCAGAAATTGCCCTCTGTGTCTAATGAGGTGGAGAACCCAATAAAAAATTAACCATGCACTCTTAATGAACTTTTAAATCTCTCGAAGGTGATTATGAATTCTGTGGTTCAAGTGACAAAATAACAGAGCCTGAGGAAGAGCAGCGAGCCAGGGGGGTAACATTATCCACAGCTCACTCACCACATGTTACTCGTGAGAAAAACGAGGCGCTCGCCCAGCCAGAAACTGACTCCCAGCCTGAGAAAACTCTGCCAGCCCCATGGACGCTGCGGGTAAAATATCAATTGGTTGTTGTTGTTAATATGCAGATTGATTACACACACGCATATATATACACACACAAACACACACATATATATATGTATATACGTATATTTTGTTTTTTCCTTTCCCGCCTCTTTCTTTCCCGCCTCTTTCTTTCCCGCCTCTTTTCCTGTTGTTTTTTTTTTCTTTTAATTTTTTCCATGGATGGTGGTTGCTTTCTAGGAAGTCACTGAGGGCAGAAGTTCTCATTTCCTCGGTTTGTCTCCTATCCGGTGAAGTTTTGGTAGCTTGCATCAGCTGCCAAGACTTGCTTGGCTGTCTGGTTGTACAAACTCCCCATTTTAAGCCCCACCTGCCATTGCTGTAGAGGCACATGGTAAAAGGTTGGGAATTCACAGGTTTCCCAAAGACATGTTTGAAATTATACCTCAAAACTGTGAATTTCCCAAATGTGACCAACATGTACCACAAGTGGCAGCTGTAGGTACAGACGTGACCCCAGGTTGATACCAAGCCCCAGCATCTCCTGCCTTCTCCAGCACATGTTGCAGACCAATCCTGTATTTCATCCTAAGACATTCCTAAATGTTGAAGCAGTCTTTGACTCAAAAGCATTTTCTTTCTGGTTCATCCATGAATAGATCTGCATGACAATCTAAATAAACAGGAAAGTTTGTGAACTGTCGGTGACAAGCTGCTTCGGCGATGGGGTGAGATGAGGAAATAGGCAAAACATCAAGAACTTGAATTTGGATAACTTATAAAAATACGTAATTCAAAACCTTTTGGATATGTTTTCTTAAAGTTGGGGTTTTTTTCAGAAATATTCTCCTTTGCCTGATGTGGAAATTTCACACAAAGGCAGCTTTCTAACAGCGAAAGGAAGTAAAGAGAGATAGAAAGGCAGTTTGCTAACTTTCCTATGGACAAACAATCATTTATGGTTGGACTCGATGATCTTAAAGGTCTTTTCCACCCAAATGATTCAGTGTTTTTCATTGATAATCTCTTACTGAACCCAGTAAGATGCGTGTCACCTTTTTCCTTCCTCCCTTTCAATTTTTTTTTTAAAACAAAGTGGTCTCTGTCTCATTTAGGAAGCACTAGAAATCCATAAGCCTGAGTTCATCGCCCGTTCCCAAGAAAGGCTGAAGAAGCTTGAGCAGATGGTCCAGCAGAGGAGAGCCCAGCAGAGCAACGCTCCTGCAAGCAACCAAGGAGCTCATGTTCGCCGGCTTTCCTCAGCGTCCACTTCAAGCAGGAAAAAGCAATACACCGTTCCTCACCCGCTCAGTGGTAAGTTGAATTGCAGCCAGCAACAGGCATGGAGCTTTGAAATCTTGCCACGTTGTATGGTATTTCCATGTTAACTTTGTGAAAAAACATCAGACCCGCCGCTCCTGTTTCACCACACCAGCACTCCAGCATCTGTCCGAATGCCCAAAGCAGAAATTATCTGAAACAAAGGGAAGGGGCAGTGAGGATGAGGAGTTTCCAGTGGAAGGAGCCTTCCTTGGGGACTTTTTGTCATTGTCACATGCAGTCGTGTTCTTCGGCATGATGCAGGTTGCTACTAGGGGTAGAGATGATAGAGATAAATAGCATTTTATACCCACAGAAAGAGCATTTTGGGAAGAGAAGTGAGAGGTAGGGGACAGGTGAGGTACAGGAGTAGGAGTCCCAATCCAGGATTTGCCACTTGACTCCTGAAGCCCTCAGCACTGATGTGGCTCTGAAAGCACACTTATCTACCCAGCAGCTGTATGCAGGGCCACTAAATCAGTGCATCTAGACTCTGTGATTTCCTAATTCAAGTTGATTAGGTTGTTTTATTGCCCAGGTGGCAAACAGACTCAATATACAGTGAATAATAACGTTCTCTCCGAGAAGCTCCCTCCCAATAGCACCGCTGTAAATATTATCTAGGCATGAGATGTTAAACAAATTACTTTTGTTTTTCTTTCTTTTTTTTTTAATTGCCATCTGGTTGTTACTTAATCCAGTCGACTAAACAAAAAGATTTATTTGATCGATTGGCATTCCTCTTTACATTTTGGCTTTAAATCTGTGGCTGTTTGAAGCCACATTATTCTGCTGACAAGTAAATCACTTGAAAGCATTAAACATCTAGACAGGTTACCTGAAGGAAGCAGGAAATAAAATCTTTGGTGCCCTCAACGCTGGGAAAGACGTGGATGTTTTCTGCTCCTTGGGAAATGAGGTTGGGTGCAGGAAAGCTGGGTGCAGCCCCCATCTCAGGGCTCTTGGCATTGGAGAGCACCAATTTCTATAGCTACATCTGCGCCGTTCATTGTGGTATGGCAGAGTCCACCTTACACCAGTAACTTAATGGGTTTTTATAGTAAGAGCTAAATAAGCGTAAGTAAACAAAGCCCAAAACATGAATTATAAAGAGTTGATAAAATTCATTTGCCACTTCAGTTATCTAAGTTAATTTACTCAGGTTCAGATCTCTTAGGGCCGCACTGGGGCCTCTGTGCCAGCACCAAAAGACCTCCCAGCAGGCAGTAGCACAGGCCAGGAGTTTGTCATATATCTTAGAAGAAGTGACAAATACTTCCTCCTTTGTTTGGTCATCTTCAAAAAATACCCCAATCCACTCTGCAAATATTTTATGAAACAAAAAAATGAAAGGTTATACCTATTTCTCGTTAAATTATAATTAAAGATTAATCTTTATGCTTGTTTAATGAGTAATAAAAGCGTAATATTGAAATATATTCATTAATTATTCAAGCAAATTACTATTTCCCTCTTTTAGTGGTTGGTTATTAAAGATAAATTTGTCTAAAGAGAATCTTTAGCTTCCATAACTCATCTGCCTTCACGTAGCCTCGTGTAATTTCCAGTTCGTAAGATTTTAATATTTTTGTAATGACAGAAGTGTCACATCTCTGTTATTTAAGCCTGACTGTAATTAATATTGGAAATCCTGGGTCCCTGATAAAGCCAGCCATGCAGGCTGCAGTTCACTGGGCTGTGTAGGAGCGCACTGAGCATGTTTAATTTGCTCTGAGTCCTGGCAATTGGTATTTTGGGCCTTCTCCTGGTGGATGTTGTTGTGCAGATGGATTAGTATCATTAATGAGTCCCAGTGTGGGGGATCTTTGTCTCTTACAGATGCTCCTGAACTTTCCTTGTCACAGCCCCTCTTGCAGAAGAGGCGAGGGCTCGGCCCTGGTGCTCCCCAAGGCACTGCCTGCCTGCACCCTCCTGGGGTCTCTGCTGGTGACACCGAGATCACGGCCTTCTCCTGCCCTTCTGCCTGCCCCAAAGCTGGAGGGAAGAGAAGTTACCATTTATTGTCACCATTATCCTCTGGAAAAGCCATTTTAGCATGTAGGGCGTGCTTTTAAAGCAATGAAGGCCTTCCTGTCAGGTTTTAGAAAACCAAAGTAGAATGAACTGAAAATGCAGCTGTAAGCCAGGTAGGGAATGCAAGGACAGGTTCATTTACCAAGATGGGAAGTGGACAGAAAAATCCCAGTGATCTGACGATGCCATTTCCCATTGTAATCTGGTGCTAGGGAGGTTGTGGGCACAAGCAGGAGTGTCACCACCTTCTCTGTCATTGCATGTGGCCCATCCGTGCCCCCATATTTCAGTTGGATCTAGCAGGAATTGCCTTTTAATTTATTGATTTTTTTAAAAAATTTATTGATTTTTTAAAAAAACTTTAACTTCCTCTTTGAGGTTTTATCAGCTCAAACGGCTGACCCAGCTCATCAAACAGCTGCGGTAGAAGAGGCGAGAGGCACCAGCCTCTCATTTTTACGGGTGTAGTGAGACTGTACCCTTCCCTAAAAGAGCTCCCAGGCTGCTCATGGGCCGCACCTATGCCCAAATGACACCAAAAGCTGCTTAACCAGGCAAAGCTGGAAACACAAAGTAAACATGGCAGGGTTCTCCCCTGACTACATATTTCAAAGCCAGCTTTGCAAGTGGTAGAGAGCCTGGGCCCTATCTGGAAGCCAACGTCTGTTGCAGTCGCTTATAAAGGCCAAAACAGACGATAGACCTCAGCCATCATTAGAAATCAAGGGAACTGGGCACCAAACACTTCTGTGCATGCAGGGAAGTTGCTTTGCCACGTCCGTTTTATTTGGTACCAGTGGTTCCCCTGTTCTCCGTGCTATTCTTAAAGATTTCAGCCAAATGCAGCCCACCTGCAGATTTCTTGGTCTCAGCAAGCCTGCTGCTCTTTCACAACGTAATTGAAACAACATTTGAAACTGAGAATCCAAGGGAGTAAAATGATGACCTGGAAACTTGCTTAAGTATACAGCATCATAGTGATGGCACCCCTAGGCTTCAGGGTCTGATCTTGTGGTTGCTTTTTTTTTTCCGTCTGCTAGTTTCCTTCTTTTTCT